TGGAAGCACCATCACTTCCAATCTGCCTTTCAATTCTTAGACCACCAAATTTAGAAATGTACTACTGTTCCTTTATTGGCACTGGGTCAGATTCTGGCATTTCCTATAGAACGCCATAAGATTATAAGATAGAGAAGCAGAATTTGATTTAATTTTTAATTTGATGTGTTGTAGTCATGTGTACTTAAGTACAGTGAAAAGCTTTGTCTTGCAAGCAATACAGGCAGGTTATAGCAAACAAGAACATACAGATCATAGAGTTCTTAGAGCGAGGCATACAGGTTACACTGCACAGGAGATGCGCAAAGCAAGATCAACATTAGCAAGATCGATATTATTTGAAGTTAGAGAGCCATTCATCAGTCTAATAGTGGCAGTGAAGAAGCTATTTTTGAATCTGTTGTTGGTGTGTGTGAGTTCAAGCTTCTGTATTTTTTGCCTGATGGAATTAAGCCATTCAGCTCACTGAATCTTCTCCACCGTTCAATCATGGTTGATATGTTTCTCAACCTCATTCTTCTGCCTTCTCCCTGTAACAGTTGATCCCCTTTACGAATGAAGAACCTATTTGTCTCTGTCTTAAATACATTCAACGATTTGGCCTCCATTGCTTTCTGTGACAATTATTCCATAGATTCACCACCCTCTGACTGGAGAAATTCCTTCTTATATCAGCTCTAAAAGGTTTTTGCTTTGAGGCTAGCCCCTCAGAAACATCTTCGTCAAGTCACTCAAACTAGGCCTCTCAGTATTCTTTCAATTTCAATGAGATCCCCCTGTCATCCTTCTAAACTCCATCGTGTACAGACCCAGGGTCCTCAACCACTCCCAGTTTGACAAGCCCTTCATCTCCAGGATCATTCTTGTAAATCTCCTTTGGAACCCCTCCAATGCCAGCACATTTTCCTTAGGTAGGGACCCAAAACTGCTCACAATATTCCAAATGCAGTCTGACCAGACCGTTATACAGCCTCAGCAATACATCTCTGCTGTTGTATTCTTGCCTTTGAAATGAAGGCTAACGTTGCATCTGCCTTCCTAACTACCAACTAAACCTGCATGTTAACCTTAAAAGAGTCCTGAACTAGAACTCCCAAGTCCCTTCGTGTTTCAGATTTCCGAAGCCTTTTCCCATTTAGAAAATCATCCATACCTGTATTCTTTCGACCTTACACTTTCCCACATCATATTCCATCTGCCACTGCTTTGCCCACTCTCCTAGCATGTCCAGGTCCTTCTGCAGCCTCCCTGCTTTTTCAACACTACCTGCCCCTCAACCTATCTTTGTGTCATCTGCAAACTTAGCAACAGTTCCTTCATCCAGTCAATAATGTATGTGAATGGTTGTGTGGAATTCCACTAGTCACTGGCTGCCATCATGAAAAAGACCCCTTTAACCCCACGCTCTGCCTTCTGCCAGTCAGCCAATCTTCTATCCATGCCTGTTCCTTACCCCTAACATCATAGGTTCTTACCTTATTTAGCAGCCTCTTGTGTAGCATCTTGCCAAAGTCCTTCTGGAAATATAAATCATATCCACTGGTTCTCTTTTGTCGAACTTGCATTTTACGTCCTCAAAGAATTCTAACAGATTTGTTAGGCATGATCACCCTTTGGCGAACCCATGCTGACTCAGCCCTATTTTACCATGCACTTCCAAGTACTCTGCAATCTCGTCCTTACTAATGGACTCTAAAATCTTAGCAATGATCGAGTTCAGGCTAAACAGCCTATAGTTTCCTGTCTTCTGCCTCCATCCCTTCTCAAATAGGGGTGTTACATTAACTATTTTCCATGCCTGTGGGACCCTCCCTGACTCCAGTGATTCCTGAAAGATCATCACCATTGCTTGCAAAATCTCCTACAGAACTCTGGAATGTAGTCCATCTTGTCCAAGTGATTTATCCATCTTCAGACCTTTCAGCTTTCCGAGCATTTTGTCTTTAGTGATAGCCACTACACTCACCTCTGCCCCCAACTTTCTTGAAGTTCTGGTATGCTACTGGTATCTTCTATTGTGAAGACTGATGCAAAGTACCTATTCAGTTCTGTCACCATTTCTTTGTTCCCCAATCCTCCAGCCTCATTTTCCAGCAGTCCAATGTCCATTCTTGCCTCTCTCTTCCCTTTTATATGGCAAAAGGATGCTTGCAATTTTCTTTTGTATTACTAGCTAGCTTACCCTCCCAAATTACCCTGAGAAACCCCTGCCATTGCTGTTCCACCATCTTCCCTGCTAGGCACCCTTCCAATCAACTCTGGTCAGCTCTCTTCATGTCGTTGTAGTTACCTTTACTCAAATGTAATGTCGTTACATCTGATTCCAGCTACTTCCTCTCAAATTGCAGGATGAGTTCTATCATATTATGGTCACTGACCCTAGAGATTTCTTTACCTTAATCTCCCTATTCAAGTCTAACTTATTGCACATTACTAAATCCAAAATTGCCTGTTCCCTAGTGATCTCTGTCACAAGCTACAGCAAAATAACAATCTTGTAGAAATGACATAAATTCCTTTTGTGGGATCCACTGCCAACTTGATTTTCGCAGTGCACCTGCATACCGAAGCCCCTATGATTATTGTAACAGTTTCTTTCTTGCATGCCTTTTCCATCTCCTGGTTTATTTTCTTCCCCACATCCTGACTGCTGTAAGTGACGAATACAGTACCATCACCAGGACTGCAGCAGTTCAAAAAAAGGGCCACCATCATCTCTGACAGAAATAATATTTCCATCTCCAGACGAAATATATCTCATAAAAAATATAGCTACTGTAATTGGTGCTGAGGTACCTTGTTTATACTAAGCACTTTGCACCTGAATGTGTTGGTGCTGATAATAGGTATCTAAACTGGAAATGTCCCATCCCTGAGCATGAGTACAGTACTCAATATGCTGAGTACTATGAATGAAGAAATACTGCATGTTTTAATTAGGCAAAGTGTAATTTAATAGACATAGGCAAAACATATCACAGTTGATTATAGGCTCTTTAAAATATTTCTTGCTAACATCTGAACTTTTAATGCCGTTAATTAGCAAATAATAAATCCTGTGAGCAAAAAGCCTGCTTTACGGTATAGCCAGAATATGACAGTGTTTAAAAGAAGCACCATTTGATTCTAATTGAGGAAATATGTTAGATTACTTTGTGTGGTCTCAAACATGCATCTCATGTTATAGAGTCCCAAAAGTGCAAAGCAACACATTCCTATAAATCATAGTCATATGTGTTTGAATCAGACACTGTTGAAGGCTTATTCCTTTAGAAAACTTTGCCGAGCTTGGTACCTTTTCAAGGATAGATGCAAGACTTAAATTTGCCTGTCAGTCCAACCTAAACAGAAGTAAAATATACTGACGCCATCTCATTACTGAAACTTCGAGCCAGAGTAACACCCAGCAGGAGGAAAAGACAAAGCAATATCTTGAGGTTACACTTGGGAGAATTGTTTGCTCTGTTCAGTTGAATAGGCACTGCATGCATTGATTTTAAACGGACTCAGGTGCGTATCAGTCTGCATGACATTAGGATAAGCACTTCTTCAAATCATTGTGTTATGTGAATCATCTCCTGGTGGTTTATTAGTAATTAGCTCAAAATGTAAGTTTTTAACTTGTTAGCCAGAAAACACGTCACCATTGGAACACTAAGTTCACAGGAATTCAGATTGAGATATGTATTTTCTTAACAGGACGATTTTGCTCTAATTGTTAAAGACAAGATATGCACAATTGCAGCAAATTAAATCTGAGTAATCTGACAACCAAAATCTAGAAAAATCATCTTCTTCATATAGAAATGTAATTAATTTTTTGTTGTAAAATTCAATTAGCACAATGTGAATAAAGTTGTAGATAAATGCATATAGCTTCTGTTTCTGGTTTTTCTTGCTTAGAAAATATTTAGATCGGTGCTGTATGTGGTAGGATGGGTTCATAGTGCAGTCGTTAGATCCGTGATTGTTGAAAAAGGGGGTTATTGATCAATTCCAGTCACGATGGAGCAGTATATTTTTAAAACTCCTATTTTGCAAAGTAAGACTATGATTATCCCGACTTGACTAAATCAGGCAGCTACTTTTACGAATAGCATGTCATTATTTCAGTTCTGTTAGTGATTATCTCAGTGCTTAGTAAATGCTTTATGAATTCTGGCTTTAATTAATAATACCAGACAAGGTAAAGCACTTTTAAATTTTCATTAAAATGGAATTTAGAAGTTTGCGTTAAATTTAATTCGTGGCATTTCCCTGTTTTCACTCTAAGTGGTGTGTTATTAGTAGGTTCGTGTGTTTCTTTGTTTTTATGGCTCTTAGCCAAAAAGAAAATGTGTGATTAGATATAAAAGGAGTCTGATAGTAAGCTCTGGCCTGTCTTTCCAGAGACTTCACTTAGAAATGCCTTTGCAGAATTTTACAGTAGGCCTAAGTATTTCTGTTTTACGTTTCTAAAGTAGGGTGAAAGTTTTGTTTAGAAATCAATCCATATTGTGTCTCCACATCTTGGTTCACATCTGGAAAGGATCTTTCTTTCGCCCTGAAAAGCTTCTCCAAACCCTGTACACTTTGAAAAAAGGAAAACCATGTGTTCTCATTGCAATGTTTAATACTGCAGTAGTTGTTAAGAGTTAGTGAAAGTAGGTTTATTATTTCCTCTTCCAGAAAAAAGCAACATTAATAATATTCAGTTTAATGTAGAAATGTACATCTGACAAAATAATCACATCAAAATGACTTAGCCCTCAGTGGTAACTGTTCAATGTGAAGAAAAGCCAAATGGGGAACTTATTACACTAATTCATGTATTTTATATTTTTATGTGTGTCATGAATATTGGAATATTTAATGAATAAATCAAAATGATCAGTTTTTTCATGAAGTAATGATACTTGTGTAGCAGAACTTTAAGTAAATTAAGATATTATATCTAGGAGCATGAAACATTCTACCCTAACCTGCATGTGTTAAGAATTATGTGAATTATGTTGCTTTAGGAGTTAAAATGAATTGGAGAAGTGGGCATCCATTGTTGTTGTGGCTCCTGAGCTTCGGCTGTAGTGCAATGTGTGAGGAAAATGATTTCCCTGACTCAGTGGAGAATCACACAGGAGGGACAAGTGTACCTGAAGTGCACGTACCTTATTGCCCTCCGAACTGCAACTGTAACCTGGATGGAACCGTAGACTGTGGTGGCGTGGATCTAAAGGAATTTCCCAGGAACTTATCAGAGTCAATATTGCACCTATCTTTGCAGGTAAGATATGATTAATCCCTTGAAATCACCTTTGTTTGCAGAAAATAACTATTAGTTAAACCTATTCTTCTCTTTACATAGTAAAAGCTACAGTAAATGTTAACCATTGCTGCTTCTTGCCTTGCGAGTTTTCCGATTTCTGCTCCTGACCTTGAATTCTTTATTTTTTTCTCTGATATTCACCCTAAGTGATTTTTTTGTAAGTTTTAGCAATTAACATCTCCAGGTTAGAAGACAATATGGCTGACCCTGGTAAGCATTGGACTATTGGATAGTGTTTGGGAGTAGAGACAGAATAACTTTCCTTCTGCCTAGACTATGCACACTGCAAACAGTCATAGTACCACTGTATTTATCTAACCTGGGTTAGCTAAGACTGGAGATCAACCTGAACCTTCCTAGTCAATATGGATTACTTCCATTCTCAGCAGTGCCTTTACCAAATCATGCTGTTCTTAGGGATATTTTATTGATTTAAGACATAAATGGCAATTATTGTTGTTTTCAGATTTGTAAAGTTTGATACTCGATTTCATGCCAAAATAACTTTGGAAGTCTTCAATCACTTCATTATTAATGAGGCTTTTTGATATATTTTTAATGTGTTTTGAAAACTACAGTTTGCAGAACTAATCAATATAAATGGCAATTGTAATTTTCATCATAAAATATTCTCCAAAATACTAGCATTCCTAAAGATCCCATTTAAAAGTGCAACTGTATTGATTAAAAAGATGTGCATATGTATGGAAACCCAAAGTGCCACAAGAGAGTTAATTGTTAACTAAGCTTGAAAATTGCTGTTGTTATGATCCAAGTTTTGAGAAACCTGGAAAAGGCAGTTTTTGGAGTGCAAAGAAGGACCAAGAATAGGAAAATAAGTGGCAAGATTCCAGGGCTAAATTGAAATATCAGACATAATATTTACTATACAATGTGAATAAAACAAATATAAACACCAAGTAGTAAGATGCATACTGATGAGGTAAGATTATTATTCTACATCAAATACACTGTACATACAGCTTAGATTCTAATATTCAGGATTAACATGAGGAAAATATGAATTAACAGATCAATGCTTGCTGAACAGCCACAAACTGCACTTTAAATGACCAAATCCAGTTAGATATTAGTTAGACTGTGGTTCACCAAATCTCAATAAAACATGGTCTCTTTCACAAAGAATTTTAATTCTTCACTTTTGAAGATTTGCCTATGGATCATGTTGAAAGCCTCTCTTTGACACAGACTACCTCAACGACTGTTCTTGTCTTGGTAGTTCAATTTCTTCTGAGACTGAGTTCCCCAAAGCTCCTGAAATAATGTCTGAAGCATCTAATCATTACCAAATTTCAGCTTTTAGCAAACAGTGAGCTTCATCAAGTTGCTGCTAAATTTCTGTAAGTGGGCTTCATTCATCCACTCCAAATTGTACTGAAATATAAATGGTTCCAAGGTCTTTGTTTTAGCCCTAACCATTTTCCATAGTATGAAACCACCTTCCTTGCGACTTGTCCTGAGAACTAACTGTCTGGAGTCTGTTAATTGCAACCCTTGACAAATTGAAAGTAGTGAACCATCTTTGACTTCATCCATTTCAATGATGGTGTGCATTGAGCTATCCTTAACATGAAGTTTAGGTTAACTATCCTTCATTTATAATTTCTTATTTAAAGTTTTTCAGGGTTCACCAATTTTTAAAAATCTAATATAACATTAACTCCTAAAACAACAATCTCTTTGGACACTCACTATTGTATACACCACAAATCCAGCTCAGCAAGCCCAACTGATGTTTCTAATCCTGTTTTTTTCTAGCTGTCAAACTCAGGGATCATAGATCAGAGGATCATAAAATCCCTATAGTGTGGAAGCAGGCCATTCAGCCCATTGAGTCCACACCAACTCTCCGAAGAGCAATCCACCCAGACCCAGCCCTCTACCCTATCCCTCTAAACTTGCATTTTCTATGGCTAATCCACCTTGGCTGTACATCCTTGGACCACTATGGACAACTTAGCATGGCCGATCCACCTAACCTGCACATCTTTGGATTGTGGGAGGAAACCGGAGTTGATGATGAGTTAACATGGCCTCCATAATAATGGTAATACAAGTATTACTGATAACAATTGTATTTATCTGATTTTCTGGTTAAACATTCATTTGTAAAACTAAAACTTACATTTTAGCGAGACTACATGAATCATGAATTAGATATTCATAACACTAGGAACTACCTTACTCCAATTTTCAGATCCCTTCCACACTATGAATTAATCTGTTGTGTGCTGTATCTAAAAATAATGCTATAAGCTATCAAGGAGGAGTTATGCATGATTCAGAATCTGGAGACTTCTAATGTACAAAATAACCGGCTTACGTCAAAAGATAAGGTAAATTTGATTTTGTGTTGGTTCCAAAAATCACAGAACAGCTCAGGCATGCAGGCAGTCATTCATAGAATCACTACAGTGCAGAAAGAGGCCAACTGGCCCTTTGAGTCTGCACTGACTGTCTGAAGAACATCCCACTCAGATCCCTATTCTATCCCCATAATCCTGCATTAACCATGACTAACTCACCTAACCTGCACACTACAGGGCAATTTAGCATGGTCAATCCACCTAACTTGCACTTCTTTGGACTCCGAGCGGAAACTGGAGCACCCAACAAAAGCCCACATGGAGACCACATGGAGAACGTGCAAACTCCACACAGACACTCACCCAAGGCTGGAATTGAACCCAGGTCCCTGTGAGGCAGCAGTGCTAACCACTGAGCCACTGTGCCCCAAGGTGGTCAATTGAAGTGAAACTTGCAGAGTATATCCAGTGGCATTTCAAACATGCTTCAGCCAAATTTTTAATGCACATAATAAAGCGCAGAAGAATCTCACTGCAACATGTTTACAAGTATTTGTTCAGTGTTTGCCTTCAGAAAAGTATATTGTGAAATTAGCACATTCATGTCATAACTATAAAGTTTTGTTTTCCATCTACTTATTATTCATAGGATTATTTTCTACTGAAAACTGCCCTCTGCTGCAAGTTGTACTGAGACTCCATACGTCCAATTCACTTATCCCCATCTGTATTTAAAACTGTAGAGAGTAGGTTCAGAACTGCTGGCCAGAACTCAAAGAACTCATGTCATTTCTTGTTACTTAGAACAATGCTTTGGAGGTGATCCCTATGGAGGAGTTATCAAGGCTTCAGAATCTGGAGACTTTTAATTTACAGAATAACCGGCTTACATCAAAAGGTAAGGAAAAGCTTTGATTTTGTGTTAGTTCCAAAAATCACAGAACAGCTCAGGCAAGCATACAGGCATTCATCTGATGATACATAGTTAACCTTATAGTTTGATGGAAAATTGTTTCCATAAGTGTATAAGTCATAACCAATGTTCCCTCTACACTGTGCATACAATCCATGGCTATGTGCAAATTTGGTTCTTTAAATTATTGTGCTGATGTGGCCACACAAAATTATTTAAAAAGGCCATGCACTTAAAAAAATTGAAGAAATATTGGTCATAACTAGATGTTCAGTTTCACTAATTATTAATGAGTTTACAGTCCACTTTTTTGCAAAAAAATTTGGCCACGTGCAGAAGTTTCCATTTGCAGTTAATATGGTTTGTCAAGTGAAATTCATGGTGTTTGGTCTGCCATTCCTCAGAGTGACTTTTCTTAATTTTCCATCTTTTACCTTATTAATATTGCAGCCCACCTCTTAAGCAGCTTCCTCAGGGAATTGCATGGATGTGGAGACAGAAGTGCTCACCATTGTCAGGACTTAAAAAAGGCAACTAAAAGGCTATTGATTGAACCATATAAAATTCTGAAGCTTCCTGGCAGAGTAGATGTGGAGAGGTAATTTCCACCCATGGAAGAATCTAGAATTGGGGTAACTGTTTAAAACGGAGATCAGGCAACATTTTCCTCTCTCTGAGGGTTGTAAGTATTTGGAACTCTCTCCCTGAAAAGGTGGTGTAAGCAGAGATGGATAGATTCTTGTTAAGCAATGTTGAATGGTTGTCAGCAGTCGGCACCAACGTGGATTGAAGTTACAATCAGATCAGTCATGAATTTATTGAATGGCAGAACAGGTGTGAGGTTGTGAATGGCCTACTCCTGGTCCTGATTTGTATGTGCACATGATTTTCATACATCACCATTTGTTTACAGCACATGTGGTGTGTTTTTAATGGAAACTGCTGGTATATGCTGTGAGTCTGACATTAACATAGCGCGGTGGTGCATAGTGACATGTGTCACAATCACTGTCTGACTGAAAGATTAACTGTTTAGTGCTCCCCAACATCACAAGCTATTTGCCTCTCCCTCTTCACTAAAGAGTAATGAAAAGCACACAGAAACTGATAGCCTATAACTGAGGATGAAAAACCTTATGTGCTAACAAAGCAATGCAACTCACACAGAGGCTGGCAACCTTTACGTCATTGTTGAAATCAGTGTGTGATAAGAAAATAATGTAAAGTGAACAGAGGCTAATCTCCAAATAATTGCTCAAGAGAGTGAGTGCTAAGAAGCCAAACTAAGAGCTATTACATGCATGAATCTGATGTCAATGAGTGAGATGCATGTGTATCCCCACATGAAAAGCCACCTGGCAGAATCATGTAGGTCATTTGTGGCCCTGAGCACCAACGTGAAATCCTGAAGGGCTGAAATGGTGTTTAGGTTGTTCTGAGAGCAGGCATGATGATGTGGTAAGGCTGGTGGTTTGCTGACTTTTTCTTGTGTGGATGAAAGGTCAAGAAAACTGGTGGCCATGGCACATGCAGGAATGTTGCTCAGAAGAAACTATTGTGTACTGGCCAGAACAAGCATTTGTCAAGCTACAGCCATCAGGTACCCACTCTGATTTGTCAGCAATGTATGCTGTCTAGCTTCTCGGTGGAGGTGAAGAGAATCAGAGACGATGTACAAGTAAGCTGAGTCAGGATTTTAATAAGATGCAAAAACATGGAAATAAAGTAGTCAGTGCTCAATGACAAGGTTCTGAAGTCGGCATTTAAGATCTGAAGAACCATTCAGGAAAATGTTTAAAAAAAAGCTTTGTAATTTTGCATTCATTTGTTCACAAAGTGAAGAAAGCGTGAAGTAGCATGAATTATTTTTGTTATTTTTTATTGCTGCTTTAATTCCTTTCCCACATCAAAGAAGTTTTGACTAAAACTTGCAAGGTGTGTATTTTGGAAGTGATAGCCAAAAGTATAGAATATAGACTTTATAGCACTGTTCTAAAGAGCTTGCAGAGACACAGGGGTGTGGATGGTGCATGTGGATAGACCTTTATAGATCTTTAATGATTATTTTCTAGATTGGAGGGATGTGGCTTGTAGTGTGACAAGAGATCTTTACCAACTCCTGGTTAGTTTACAATTCATACAGATCATTCGCACGTAGAAGAAGGTTGATATTGGCATTTTCTGGTTGTAGGGCATGCAATCTGTGGGAAAGAATACAGGACAGTCAAGCAGACATAAACAGAGTGGATAGATAGATGGCAGATTAAGTTCAATATAAATATTTGTGAGATTATTCATTTGGAAAAGATGCAGACTTTAAATGGTAAGACTTAATGGACCTGGCAAACCGAGATATCCAGGGTACAGATATGTATGTTTTTAAAAGCTAGGAGTACAACTGCAAAGGAGCACTTAATCAGAATTATATGTTTTACTCAGAGATGGACGGACGTCTCTGAAAATAAGAGTGAATAGAGTTTTTGGCCTGGATTTTCCATCTGGAAATGGCCTCTGCACTCATAAATTCCCCTGACTTGACACTGTTCCACATTTCTTCAGAACCTTCCAATTCCTGCTTTCCCAGAAAAGTACAGTGCAGCATCAATTTGGGAAATTTCTTCAAAGTGAAACAGAGTCAGGGAAATTAGATACACCTCTTTGCTTCAGCATCAGCTGCTGTATGGTGAGTTTAAATCCACAGCCTTTGAATGTTAGTGAATCTATGAGTCAATGGCTGAGTTGATGAATGAGTGCATGTGTAGATAGGTAGGGTAGGCAATGGGGGAGGTCAGTAAGTAGGTGCAGTGGGTGAGGCCAATGATGTATGTAGGTGGATGAGGTGAAGTGTACAGATGAGTCCAGGGTAATCAGATAGGGAGGGTCTGATCAGGAGTACTTGGGGTAGGGATGTAGCCAAGTCAGAGTGACAGTGAGATTGGATTGGGGGGGCGCAATGCGAGTCTTTGGGGGTTAGTCAGATCTGGCTGATGTGTAGCCAAGTAGTTAGACAGAGGTCAGGGGTAATCTTGTTTAAGCAGTAATTAGGTCTGATTGGAGAAGTAGTGGTGTCATGAGATAGATTAATTGAGTCAGGTCAGTGGGTGATGATGAGTTATTTAAGGTTAGTCAGGTGGTCAGAGGTGTGTTTGAGAGTAATCCTATCTAGGCCCAACTGATGTTTCTAATTGGGTTCACCAATTTTTAAAAAATCTAACATAACATTAACTCCTAAAACAACAATCTCATTGGATGGTCACTATTGCATGCAGTGTATACACCACATGTCCAGCTCAGCAAGCTCAACTGATGTTTCTAATTGGAGGAGTAGTTGAGTATATGAAAATATTCATTATTGCTAAGCAGACAATGCAGTATCATTCTAGACTCTCCAGTTGAGGCCAAAGAGCTGCATTTGACTTAGTATCGTATGTCATCAACAATGATGTGATGATACAATGGCTTAAGAGGTGTATTTTATCGTGGCTTTTTTGGAAGGGAGGTTTTGAGCCATAGGCGAGGAACTATCTACTCCATGCCAATAAAGTAAACAGCTTGTGAGGCTTTGATGGTTTTTTTTTGGAAGTTGGAACAATTGATGCAGCCTGAATGGATGGAGTCAGGCTCCCACAGAACCAGGATTTTGGATTAGCCTTCAACAGCTATTGGGGTTTTTGAATCTGGCTGTGAAAGCTGTTATATCTCTCTAGTATAGCCAAAAGCTGGAGTTCTTCTTGCTGCTAGACTTGCATGTGAGACAATCTATTTCACTGAATTTGCCTTTGTCAAGTGTGTGCTTATGGGATGTTACTATATTGGAACAGTTACTGTTCAGTAGTTAAATCACCTCTTATTCTGTTAAGTTTTCCATTTTTAAGAAATATGTAAAATAGCAGAAGATACAGTTGTACTTAATACGGTACATATATCAAAAAGTCTTATCTTGAATTCAATTCATTGTAAGTGTGATTCCCTAAAATGTGTTACTTTTACAAAACGTTAATCATTCCTCGCAAAGACCTTCAAGTCAGTGGAGTCACAAAGCTGATGCTGTACATTTCCTGTAAGAAAGCAAAAGGAAGGCAGAAATTACTTCATGCCGCCCCTGTGCCCCTCAAGAAAATTTAGAGCAAGTTGACAGAGAATTGTGCAGCTAATGAATACTGTCTGCTACTGGGAAATATTAAATGGAAGGGAGGAAAAGAAGCAAATTTTTAAAAGAGAGAATGTTGTGTTTGTTATTAGGTTCTGTTGGTAGCAAATATGCTGTTTACTACTCAGCCATTTGAAACTGATTTCATGCAATTTACAATTGTACAATTTCAGGTCAGAAACCTCCTATACATAATTATAGGTACAAACTTACACCCTTACTGATGCATTTATTTTCCTACTTAAAAGTATTTTAAAGTAATATTTTTTTGAATAATAAAGATTGTTATCTTCATTAATGTGTAACATTTCTAGAATTATGTGTTGAGATAAAGTTTATGACAAAATAACTGTAACATTAGTTTTAACACCGTTTTGCTATTATCTGTGTTCAGGTTTCCTTTGATAACTTAGCAAACCTAGACAAAGAGAAAAAAGACAGATTTGCATTTGTATAGCACCTTCACAAACTCAGGGCATCTCAAAACTCTTGGGCATTTTATCTTGTTTTCCATGCACTTCATTTGATATTTTTATGTCACACGTTTTTGTTAAGTTCACTGTCACTAGTCATCCTGTAGGTTGACTTTATACATCCCTACAAACTGTAGTGGGCCCTTTCATAACCAGTAGTTATATAAATGGGATGTGATTATGGAATCAGAGCTCAGATGAACTCTTGTCTTTATATCATCCCCTCTGTTAAACTACCCTGCAGTTTGAAGAAAGAATGAACAATAAGGGAAGACACTTATATATTAAACTACTATTCTGCATTTTTGAGCTGATCAGTTTGTTGTTGATATACAAATTGTATCATTAAGTTTAAGGATGCA